ATCCGCATCCTGGGTATGATGATAAACTTCATCCGCGTCCTGGGTAAGTCGATAAACTACATCCGCGTCCTGGGTAAGACGATAAATTACATCCGCGTCCTGGGTAAGACGATAAACTACATCCGCATCCTGGGTATGATGATAAACTTCATCCGCGTCCTGGGTAAGAAGATAAACTACATCCGCGTCCTGGGTAAGACGATAAACTAACTACACCCGGCGTCCTGGGTATGACGATAAACTACATCTGCGTCCTGGGTAAGACGATAAACTACAGACTCAGATGACCCACATTAAACTCAGCCTTGTGCCACATATATCCTTCTTGGATGGGGTTAGTATTAACAGTGGTTTACTGTTCTTCCGAGGTTGTGACTGTTCGCAGCTCCTGTGGATCTCTCTGTCCTGGGCACAGAGGAACTCGGACGAAGTGCAGAGTTACGCCCGGGGCGATAGACAGACCCGAAACCGTTTATCCGGGTTCTACGGGGAGTTTTAGCTGAGCCTACAGGCTCGGATGCCCCACGTTAAACTCGGGCCTGTGCCACATATAATATCCCTCGTTCTGCTAAATATTAACACTAATTTACTGTTCTTCTGAGGCTGTGACTGTTCGCAGTTCCTGTCGAACTCTTTGCATTAGGCAGAGAGGAACCCGGACGTGGCTGTGCCGTAGGGCAGAGTTTCGTCCGGGGAGGTAGGCGGACCTGAACCCGTTTGTGCGGGTTCAACGGGAATTTTTTGGCCGAGCTTCAGAGCTTGGATGACCCATGTTAAACTCGGCCTTGTGCCACGTGTACCCTCGTGGGGATGGGTACTAAATATCAACAGTGATATAAACTGAACGCTGGGTCAACCGACACACACCCTCAAGTCGTGTAATAGTCTTCTGTTGTATTTACTGTTCAATAAACTATTTATCTGCAACCTCTTGTTTTGTTATTTCTTAACCAATTACTTGGCCACAACAATTACTGTAATGATTTTCTAATTACGTAGCGTTTTAGAGTTGCAGTTTTAATGCAAAACGATAACTTTCAAGTAACGTTTAAAATAATGTTGCACCATGATTGCACAATAATTATGCTTTTACGGTATGTGTATATCAAACAAAATGCCATTAGTATCATTAAACTGTCATTACTATCATGAAATTGCGCAGATAACACGCATAGCACAGCTAGTTCTCGTAATGGCCACCTAAGTTAATCGGCGTTTCAGTCTGTGTTTAGACTTATTATGTCAGCTGTTCGTCTCGATGTGTGCTTTAACTTTAAGAGAATACGGAATCTTTATTACTATTTTATTATTTTATATTAATTTCTATGTTACAATGTCAATCATGTTCACCAAACACAAGTTTTAGACAGATATATCTGTGGCAGTTTGCTGGGGATACGGTAACTGGTGTACAGTAATTGTTAGGAGCACTGTCACAATTGCTTACAACTTGACGGTAAAGCATTATTTACATCATTCGGATTATAGCCTCATCTTTATCGCCATATATATTACAACTTTTCGGCCGTTGTATGCTCCGGTCTTCTTCAGGGGGTTGGAATGTCGAAATGAAAGTCTTTATTTCCCTCATTGTTGTAGACTGTTCTAGTTCCACGAGCCATAATCTAATGGATGTCATTTATCAGTTATCTCCTGTTAATTACCTTCTTCAAGTTCTCCACTGCCTTAACCAGGTATTGAACTCACCCCTTTTGAGTCATGTCACTGGATCTAACTAACGCCTTTATCCAATGTCATGTGTCCATGTAACAGTTTATAAAGGCGTTAGTTAGATACAGCCGAAATGATGGAATAAATATCGCGACAAAGATGAGGAAAATAGTCGGAATAATGTAAATAGTGTACATAATACCTCATCTTAGAAATATAGAAAGATACTGAAGGGTCGAAACGTTGTAATAAATATGGCGACAAAGATGAGCACAATAGTCCGAATAATGTAAATAGTGTACATAATACCTTATCTTAGAAATACAGACAGATACTGAAGGGCCGAAACGTTGTGATAAATATGGCGACAAAGATGAAAACAATAGTCCGAATAATGTAAATAGTGTACATAATACCTCATCTCAGAAATATAGACAGATACTGAAGGGCCAAAATGTTGTAATAAATATGGCGACAAAGATGATGACAATAGTCCGAATAATGTAAATAGTGTACATAATACCTCATCTTAGAAATATAGAAAGATACTGAAGGGTCGAAACGTTGTAATAAATATGGCGACAAAGATGAGCACAATAATCCGAATAATGTAAATAGTGTACATAATACCTTATCTCAGAAATATAGACAGGAAGGGGCGAAACGTTGTGATAAATATGGCGACAAAGATGAAAAAAATAGTCCGAATAATGTAAATAGTGTACATAATACCTCATCTCAGAAATATAGACAGATACTGAAGGGCCAAATGTTGTAATAAATATGGCGACAAAGAAAATAGTCGTAATGTAAATAGTGTACATAATACCTCATCTTAGAAATAAATACTGGCGAAACGTTGTAAAAATATGATGATGACAAATAGTCCGAATAATGTAAATAGAATAATGTCATCTTAAAATACAGACAGATACTGAAGGGCCGAAACGTTGTGATAAATATGGCGACAAAGATGAGCACAATAGTCCGAATAATGTAAATAGATTATCTTAGAAATACAGACAGATACTGAAGGGCCGAAACGTTGTGATAAATATGGCGACAAAGATGATGACAATAGTCCGAATAATGTAAATAGTGTACATAGAACAGATCTGATGAAGATATCTCATCACATCCTTTTGTAATATAAAGACTTTATAGATCCCTGTAAAACTGGAGAACTTGGAGAGGGAAAATTAACAGGAGATAATTGATAACTGACATCCATTAAACATGACACGTGGAACTAGAACAGTCTACCCCAGCAAGTGAAATAAAGGGTTCAGTTCGACATTCCAACCACCTGAAGAATGCCAGAGTGTACAACGGCCGAAACGTTGTAATAAATATGGCGACAAAGATGTGGACAATAGTGCGAATAATGTAAATAATGTACATAATACCTCATCTCAGAAATATAGACAGATATCGGTGGTAAAGGTTTGCATTTTTTAAATCATCATCTATATCGACACCTCGTTTGGGAAATATTTTTATAGGCTTGAATCTCGATTTGTACACCGCGATTTACGGTATACAGATGGCCATTCTTTTACTGAGTTTTTGTACAGGAAGCAGCCGGGAAATAACAATTGCGGAGGGTAAATAAAAATGATGCGGTCTTTAGATTTGATTATGGTCTTTGGTTTCACACAAACGCGGGTGACGTAGATCGTTTCTAAAATTCATCAACGATCTCTCGGATGCCATCTGTTCCAAAGAAGGTATTCATGGAGATAATACTACCATACACTCTTTTCTCAATAGCAAACCTAGTAACTGCTCTTGAAAAGACTTCTAATCGGTCGTTAACCGGGGCAGGTAATGGCGTGTAAATTTTAACGCCTCCAAAATAAAAGAAAAATGCTTTCATTTAACCACCACAGAGAAAACTTTCTGCCTGTCATCAGCATATCTGACGCTAGGACCCAGGTGAACAATATACTTTTTGTCTTCACATTTTCCACTGAATTGAAGGAGAGCGAATCAATAGCTGCATCTACTGCAAGGAAAGTTGAGTCACTGTGCCGTGCCAGAAGATTTTCCGTCAGAATCTATCTTCTATATTTACATATATACCATTCGTCCATGCTGTTGTCATATATGGTCAGGTGCTCCTGCTGTACCATATATCTCGACATCAGTCGCTTTCTCACTGTCGTGACGTGACTCCCGTCGGTATTTTTAAAATTATTTTCATGGTAACTTCTCTGACGAGCTTTTTTGATTGGTTCACGAACCGTGTGAATTAAAGGGTGCTACTAGATTGGCATGTAGGTCCCAATATTTTAAATAACTAAATGCAACCGCCACTTTTACTCCAACAGTTTTCACTTGCACTTTCCACCTGTGGAACTATGTTCCGTTTACTTGCTTCATGGATATCTGCAATCTTGAAAAATTGAAATGGAATGTCAGTCGCCATTTTCTGTCTTTTTGAATACCGTTCTTATTTTGTCCTTCCTCCAATCCTCCCTATTCTCAGTCTTCTCTTTCAGTTTAACCCTAACAGCTACGTTTTAGTGGTATTCTTGCTTTGCATGGGATGAAATGATTAAAAAAAAAAGCGAGATCAGTGAAAAAAGAACATTAATTCTTCTTTGATTTCCGGAAAACTTCCAAAGTGAACTTGCTGAAAATGGTGGCAATCAGTAACTATGCTAAATTCTTCGACTTATGTTATGACTTGATTTGAATGTGAAATCTCTTCTCGCGTCTGGATTCCAGGTGATAATTGTTTGGAACATAACAGGATTGATTAATCTCAGAATGAAGTCTGCCAAGAGAAAAAAAAATCAAATTATTTAGAAGTAAGTAATTGAAAGAGAATATCCAAATTATAAAGCCTGAAATGACATACTAACGCTCTTCAGCAAAAGGAACACTACAAGATTGGACCTACGGAACATAAAAATCAAGTAAATAAAACTAAATATGTAGTATAAATGTCGGAAAATGTGACACAGAAATTCGTAAACGCATTGCAATAGACAAAAAATGCCTTCTGGTGGCTAAACAGAATAAAATAATAGGAACATTTGATTTATAAGCAAAGAAAAAAGTGATAAACTACCATGTCATATCAGTCTTCTTATACAGCAGTTAATACTAGATAATTTCTCACAGATGAAGATGAGATTTGAAGCCACAGTGATACGGTTCTGCACGTTTGTTTTGTTTTACGGCATATCACCTCAATGGGTTATTTAATGCCGACAGCATTATTATTGTTGATAATATTTCTTTTATCTATCTATCTAGCTAGCTAGCTAGCTAGCTCGGTATATATTGTTTTGTCTTGTTTTTTTTACAGCATATCAACTTCAATGGGTTATTTAATGCCGACAAGATTATTATTGTTGGTAATATCTATCTATCTATCTATCTATCTATCTATCTATCTATCTATCTATCTATCTCATTCTGTTCATATCTATCTATCTCAGTATATGTTGGTTTGTCTTGTTTTGTTTTACGGCATATCAACTTCAATGGTTTATGTAATGCCGACAAGATTATTATTCTTGGTAATATCTTTTTTTTATCTATCTATCTATCTATCTATCTATCTATCTATCTATCTATCTATCTATCTATCTATCTATCTATCTATCTATCTCAGTATTTATTGGTTTGTTTTGGTTTGTTTTACGGCATATCAACCTCAGGTTATTTAATACCGAAAATTTTTTATTGCTGGTAATATTTTTATTCAAAATGTATTGCTTGTATTATTCTTTTTAAATGTATTGCCAAAATATTTTTTTCTTCAAAAATTCATTTGCTGGTAATAATTTTTGAAAAATATATGTTGTTGGTATTAAAACATATTTTTACACTTTCATCGTGTTTTGACAAATGTTTAGGAGTTAACTAGTTGCCCCAATCTAGGACCGACTTACAGTCAAATCACGCTGAAACACCGGTTCTCGTTCGATCACCGAAGTTAAGCATAGTAGAGCCAGGTCAGTACTTAGATGGGGGACCGCTCGGGAACACCTGGTACTGTAAGCCCCCAAAGTCCAACCCTTACCTCACAGTCGGTGGGGGGGTGTAAACGGTAGTGTCAGAGCTATGCCGTCCGGAACTTCGTTCCTGGTAGGGCCACCCAAGGCGGACAGGTCTGACACACACGCCGGCGAACAAGGGCTCTGGTGAAAATCCAAGGAGCGTCTGCATCGGTAACCGGCGGCTTCTGGTCGTTCCTGTCTCTGCGTCTGTGGGAACCCCGCGGCAAGCAAGAACGTTATCCGAGTAGGTCTGGGTACCCTACTTCTGTAATTTATCCCAAGAATCTTCTTCTCATAACAGGAAGAAGCCGGCTCAATCCGCCCAGGGTGAATGCCGCATCAGTACAGTCAATACAGTAATCTAGGACCCAAATAGGTTCTACCACCCCGGGTCAAGGTGAACCTGGGAACACCAGCAATTAAGAGATGGTTCCACGCTCCTCAAAACCTCCTTGCAGTTGGATCTAGTCTTACCCAGGATGAAGATGTATTTTATCATTTTCAGAAAGATGCTGAGAATACCATGGATGAAGCAATGAGGAATTTTTAAGAAAAACAGAAACGGAAAAGAAACTTCTAGTTACATCCAGAAATAAACAGTTGAAACTTCGGAGACACATAATGGGGAAAGTTGTTTCGGGGAATTAAACACTGACAAAATTGAAGACAAGAGGTAGAGAGGAAGAAAGATAATTACCTACCTAAATATTATTTACTTTATTTATATTGTTAGGACTGTTGTTCCCATCTTTATTGCCATGTTGACAACTTCAGGTGGTTGGAATTTAGAAATAAATCCATTATTTGGTCCACCAGGGTAGATTGTTCTAGTTCCACCTGCCATGCCTCTTCCGGATGACTCATCTCACTTCAACTCAGCTCAAGTTTTTTTTTTTTTATCACTGCTGTAGACAGGTATTGAGTCACTCTCACTGTTCAAAAACTGCTGTAACCAGGTATTGCACTCTTTGAGTCAAGTCAAGTTGATCTGACGAGTGCTTTTATCCACTAGGCTATGCGTCCTTGAAGACACCAGTGTATAAATTTGGGGAACTTATAATTTTAATGCCTCAGTAACCATTTTTACCAGAGTCTATAAGTCCCCAAAATTCATACACTGGTGTCCTCAAGGATACATGGCCTAGTAGATAAAATAATTGGTTGGATCCATTCACTTGGTCCAAAGAGTTGTGAGTTCAATAACTGGCTACTGCAGTGATGAACCAAACCTTAGAGAGCTAAGTTAAAGTGAGATAATTGAGATATCCGGTGGACTAAGTTCCAATCACCTGAAGAAGGCCGAAACGTCGTGAACACGGCAATAAAGATAAGAACAGCAGTCCGAACAATGTAAATAATTGTCATATCATCTCAGAAATATAGACAGATACCCACCCCAAGTGCTTATATTAATTGTTGCCAGAGCGGAGGCTGCCAGTGATGCGACTCTTACAAATGCTATTTCGAAATACAAGGTAGAGGAAGATGTAGACACCCATGATTACACACTTGATTGGGTAACAAGGTAGATAAAAGAAGTATGCCTATAGCACACACACACACACACACACACAAGCACATATATATATATATATATATATATATATATATATATATATATATATAATGAACTCTCACGTCGATGTATGAAGATCTGACAGCTTATTGATTCAGTTATGAAAGTTTGTGCGATAATCTTAAGTGGTATTTAAGACCCGCTAGTGATTTAGAAAGGAGGCGACATATGGAGGATTTTGAGATGAGATCACTTTTAGATTGGCTGACCTTTTAGATCTTGCTCTCGTTTCTTGACATATATATGTCTCTCTCTCTATATATATATATATATTTATATATTTATACACGTTTCATTAAATAATATAGACAAGTGTTGTCTATTTATTTTATGTAAAAATTTTTCGTATCTTCTGATAAGTTTGATAACATTATCATTAAGCGAAAAAAGAAATTCACAATATTTATCCATTATTTTTTTAATATAATCTGAGCTTTCGGCTTACTCAAGCCATTATCAAAGATGTAATTACAAACATATCAAACAATATACGGACACGACAGTGATGATAGTATGTCATTGTTTAGTTTACATAGTGGATCACTAAGCAACGATGAACACGCGCATATAAGACGCTAGAAGCGAAAATGGCACCGCATCTCATGACGTCACACATGACTACACGAGAGTGAATTGGAGAATGAAATAAGGAAAGCCGTTGGTATAAACCAATGGCTTCTGTTACCAATTATATATATATATATGTGTGTGTGTGTGTGTGTGTCACCATGTCTATGAACATCTTGTCTTTCTCTCTCTCTCTGTCTCTCTCCCTTTCTCTCTCTCTCCCTCTCTCTCTCCCTCTCTCTCTCTCTCTCTATATATATATATATATATATATGTATATATATATATATATACAGACAACAGTTTAGTTGACATGGTGCAGTTTCTTCCAGGCAAACGCTTAAAAAATTACGCTTCGATAGATGGCAGTAAACCAGATTTTATTCTTGTGTTGTAACCTACAGCAATAAGCAAGCAAAGTAGAAATGAGGTGTAGGTGAGTAGACTGGACAACTGAACAATTGAACGGCCGTCTTCCCTGTCCGTTCTGCGAGATCCGCTTCTTTCATTTTGTGTTCCTTTTGGTGGAATGATCAAGTTTATAGATAACAATTTCCTTTGTTTTGTCATCTTCGTCTAAAAAGTAATTAATCTTCCTTCCGTGACTTTCTCTCAGTCTGATCCTGTTGCTCTGTACTTTGAAATTGAATTCATTTACTGATAACCATCAGTCAAAAGTAAACTTCCCGAACTGCGAGAATACGTTTAACAATACCTCAACTGACAGATATTGATACGTATTGCACCAAACCAATTCAAAAATCACTAAACTGTCAGCTATCTAAAATCGTTTTTAAGATCAATGATTAAAAATGACATTCAGCGGGTGAAGCCTGTGGCTGTTAGCGAAGACTACAGTAGAAAGAAAGAAAAGATTTGTTGCGTTGAAGGTCAGACCAGACAACAGGTTCGTTGACAGGTTACAGTTTCTTCCAGCTTGTGGCTTAAAAATTACCCTCGGGACAGATCGTAAACTACTAGTAAAGAAAAAAATTATTTCTATCAGTAAACCAGATTTTATTCTTGGATTGTAACTTATTGCAATAAACGAGTGAGTAGGTGAGTGGGCTGGACAACTGAACAATTGAACGGCCGTCTCCCCTGTCCGATCTGCGAGGCCAGCTTCTTTCCTTCTGTGTAGCGTTTCGCGGGATTGCCAGTTTCATACGTAACAGTTTTCTTTGTCTTGACATCATCGTCTAAGTTAGTAATTAATCTTCCTTCCGTGACTTTCTCTCTGTCCGAGCCTCTTCTGAAGTTGACTTCACTCATGGTTAACCATAGATTGAAAGTAAGTTTCCGTAAAAATTTTTGCGACAAGTGTTGCTGTTTGCAATTTAACAAGACCTCAACTGACTCTATTGGATACACCCCCATATATATATATATATATATATATATATATATATATATATATATATATATATATACAGATCTGTAGGTTTCTTACTGTACAATGGAAACATGCAATTTTTATATAATGAAATCGCTGGCATTTATGAAATATTTGTTTTAGTGGGCATTCTTATCGATAAAATTAATCTTTAGAAGAGACTTCATGTCGCCTATATTCAGGTCGTTAAATTATGTTCACTTTTTAACGCTGACTTTCTGTAGAAATAAAATGAAGTGCCTGTCTATTTCTCTATCAACACAGAAGCTATCAGAATGATTTAAAAGACATTTGGCATACATATAAACTGTGGCGCAGGTAGTGATCCAGGTCAGCCCTGAAGGTCACGAAAAGCCAAATATCAGGTCAGTGAAGCCATTTCTCATGGTAGGTAAATATTTATTCCAGTCTATAAAATATAACAGTAAAGGAGGTAAGTTAAGTTATGGTAATAAATTAATGTGTCGTTACGTCTCCTCCCCTCCTGTTGTTGTTGTTGTTCTTCTTCTTCTTCTTCTTCTTCTTCTTTTCTTTTGCTTTTTCGAACTTCCTCTTCTTTTTCTTCTTTTTTCCTCTTCTTTTTTTTCTTCTTTTTTCTTCCTCTTTTTGTTCTTCCTATTCTTTTTCTTCTTCTTCTTCTTCTTCTTCTTCTTTTCTTTTGCTTTTTCTCCTTCCTCTTCTTTTTCTTCTTTTTCCTCTTCTTTTTCTTTTTTCTTCTTCTTTTTCTTCTTCTTCTTCTTCTTCTTTTCTTTTGCTTTTTCTCCTTCCTCTTCTTTTTCTTCTTTTTCCTCTTCTTTTTCTTTTTTCTTCTTCTTTTCCTTCTTCTTCTTTTTCTTTTTCTTTTCTTTTGCTTTTTCTCCTTCCTCTTCTTTTTCTTCTTTTTCCTCTTCTTTTTCTTCTTCTTTTTCTTCTTCTTCTTCTTCTTTTCTTTTGCTTTTTCTCCTTCCTCTTCTTTTGATTCTTTTTTCCTCTTCTTCTTTTTCTTTTTTCTTCTTCTTTTTGTTCTTCCTCTTCTTTTTCTTCTCCTTCTTCTTTTTGCTCTTCTTCTTTTTGTTGTTCTTTTTCTTCTTCGTCTTTTCCGCTTCTTCTTCTTCTTCTTTTCTGCCCCTTCTCCTTCTTTTCCTTCTTCTTCTTTTCCTCTTCTTCTTTTCTTCTTCTTCTTTTTCTTTTTCACCTTTTTGCTTTCTTCTTCCTGGTCCTTTTCTTTTCTTCTTCTTCATCTTCTTCTTTTCCGCTTCTTTTTCTTCTTCTTTTTCTTCTTTTCCTCCTCTTCTTCTTCTTTTTCTTCTTCTTCTTCTTCTTTTTCCTATTCTTCTTCTTCTTTATGTATTGTAAACCTTCAGAACCTTGGCGATCATAGCTTTCTACAATATCCTGTCCTTTGTAGCTATTAATAAATAATGTCTTTCTGTTGTCGCCTAAATCCAGTTCAGCTACCCATTTACTCAAACTCTCTAGGTAGGTTATACGTTGTTTTCCGCTATTCCTTTTGCTTTCAGTCTTTCCTGTGTGTATCAAATTTTCTAAGCTTTCTTTCTTCATTATATGCCCTACAAATTTTGACTATCTCTTTCTGATTTTAACTAGAACTATGTTTTTTATACCTACATTCTCTAAAACTTCATCGTTTAGTCAATTTATGAAATCACTGCTTATCTTTTTTTTATCTAGTTATAAAGGAAATGTCTCTGCGATCTATAGAACAGTAAATTTATTTAGAACCTCAGTTAACTTTTCTTCCAATATATCTAGACAAAATTTGTCACCGAACAAAATCGGGTCAAGCTTCTAGATAAATAATAAATACCTTCTCATTCTCATTCGTTCTCCCAACAAAATTTCTTAAAGTGCCCAATGTACACCGTATATTTTAGCGCCAACTTAAAGTCCTGTTATTTTATGGGGATGGGTAGACAGAAGTAAGAACGGAAGGAAAGTGAAAGATTGCACCCTCGAGAGACTTATACGAATGCGTTTGATTCGCCATTTAATTTACCTTATCGTCAAGAGTTTTCACTCTCTCTCGCGCGCTCACGCGAACGCTCATATCTCTGTATTCAGCGACCCATTTATTCTCGACCCCTGAAATATTTCATTCTTTTATTGCCGCTATTATGCCAATGTGATGGGTGTGGTTAAATGCCCCAGGTTCCATCTCATTTATCAAAATTCGGTGAATGTCTTTGGAAATAGAGAAGCAAAAGTGATCATCTGAAACGAAATCGAGTAAAAAAAAAAAACATTATAAAATTAGGCGCGTGGATATGAAATTAAAGTAAATAAAAAGAAAACATCGTATCAGCGAGACGCTAGAAAAGAATACGAGAAGCAAACGACAAAAGGATGAAAACGAGATTAGGATGATTTGAAAAGTAGAAACTTCAAACGAAAAACGAAAATAAAATTGTCGAATAGGTGACAAAAAGGCCAGAAAGAAGAAAGGGAATTTTATAAGAAAGACTTAAGATAATTCAAAACTGAGACAGGCTTTACAAGTCGCATACGAACTTTTGCGAATATGTAAGATAATGTGTTTTTTATGTGGAACACATATTGAGAAAATCAATTCAGAACATTTCAAATTGAATCGAACAGCTGAATAGATAGACTGATTGATTTTTTACGGATTATCAACACTTTTTTAAGCCGAAACATATGTTTATTGTAAGAATATTATTTTTTTTTTTTTGGTAGTGAATATTTCATCAACATTTTTTTTGGAGATACCGATAATTCTTCTAGATACAAATCATATTATTTAACCCGTAGCTGAGGGATGATGTCATATGAAAGGAAGGAAATGGTGAATTAAAGTGGTTAACTGAAGATGCACGCAGTAAAAAAAAATTCTAACTCGATATATTGTAACCAAAACTTTAGAAAGAGAAAAATTATTCCTTAACAGCAGTTTGTAAAATCTGTGTGCATCTGTGGACGAACAGTACAAGCAACCGTCTACAAGTTCCTTGATTAAGGGAAGACCACCGTATGAGCAAATTTATCTTCTGGTAGATCCCAATGCAAAAGTTGGTGCACAATAAGACCATGGTGTGGGGAAAATGGACTGTAATGGCTAAAGCATCCTAGAAGTTTACTGCTATCATATTTTTTTTTAATGACAAACGCAAAAAAACGCTTTTCACGAAGCATCTTGTAGACACCTAACGTCAAATCAATGGCACCAGCTGGACTTGGTCACCAGACGCGATTACTTACTAAGCCAGATCTTACCGCAGCTTTTTGTTGCTGGTAATATTTTTTTCAAAAAATGTGTTGCTGGTAAAATTTTTTTTCTTAAAAAAATCTATTTCTAGTAATATTTTTTTTCCAAAATATATTGCTGGTAATAATTTGTTTTCAAAAATGTATTGCTGGAGATTATTTTTTTTTAAAAAAATATTTCTGTTATTAAAACTTATTTTTACACTTTGATCGTGTTTTGACTATTTGCCCATAGCTAGGGGCCTAAACGGTGCTACCACCCCGGGTCAGGGTAGATCTGGTAACACAAGCAATTAAGAGGTGGTTCCACACTCCTCAAAACCTTGCTGTCGGACGTAGTTTATCGTCTTACTCAGGATGCTGACGTAGTTTATCGTCATCCCAGGACGGACAAAATTTGATAAACAGACAAAACATTATGATGTGGATATAAAGTTGAATTTAATTCTGTATTACAATCACTATATAAACTGATCCCTCTATTTGTCGCCACAATAGTTTCTATCCATTTCTATTCCAGAGAATGTAAATAAATCTAAAAGACATGCCTGTATAGCTAAACAGTATTTCATTTATTGATTGATTCATTTTCTATGGTTTATCAACAAACAAGAAATTATAACGTGGATATAAAGTGAAAGATTAATCCTATATTAAAATGGACGTGTAAACTGATCCCTCACTTTATGACCACGGTAGTTTATATACATTTATATTCCAGAGAATGCAGATAAATCCGAAAGATATGCCTGTGTAGCTAATCAGTATTTCATTGATTGATTCGTATTCTACGGTTTATCAGCCCTTTGGAGATTAAAGAAAAGACTTTAGATTGTAAGACTTACTCTTACTAATTAACCCATAGCGGTTGGAGAACTGGTGATTCATACCTAATCAGAATTTGATAAACAAACAAGAAATTACGAGCTGGCTATAAACTAGGGGACCGATTCTATATTACGATCAATATATAAACACGTCCCTCACTTTGTGGCCACATCAGTTTCTATACATTTATATTACAGAGGATGTAAATAAATCTAAAATCTGTGTAGCTAATAAGTATATCATTGATTGATTCATTCAATTTCAACGGCTTATCAACAAAGAAAATTATAATGTGGATATAAAGTGGGTTATTAATTCTATATTAAAACAGACATGTAAACTGATCCCTCACTTTATGAACGGTAGTTTCTTTACATTTATATTCCAGAGAATATCCGTCCTTGGTAAGACGTTTAACTACATCCGCGTCCTGGGTAAGACAATAAACTACGTCCAGCAGCAACGCCTCTGTTCAGGAGATTTTGAGAAGCGTGGAACCACCTCTTAATTGCTGGTGTTTCCAGGTCCACCCTGACGCGGGGTGGTAGCACCTGTTAGGGTCTTAGCTATGGGCAAATTGTTAACTATTACCGGCAATACTTTTTTGAAAAAGGTTATTACTAGCAATACAACTTTGAAGGAAAAATATTACCAGAAACAGATTTTTGACAAAATAAAATATTACCAGGAATACAAAATTTTGGCGGCATTAAATAACCCATTGAGGTTGATATACCGTAAAACAAAATAAACCAAACCAAACCAAAGAATATAAATTAATCTAAAAGACATGCCTGTGTAGCTCATCAGTATTTCATTGATTAATTGATTTGTTTTCTACGGCTTGTCAATAAACAAGAAATTACAATGTGGATATAAAATGGGGGATCGGTTCAATATTAAAATCAATATATAAACTGATCCCTCACTTTTTCACCACAATAGTTTCTATAAATTTATATTCTAGAGAATCTAAACAAATCTAAAAGACATGCCTCTGTAGCTAATCAGTATTTCATTGATTGATTGATTCGTTTTTTATTGCTTAGCAACCATTTGCAGGTTATTTAAAGGCAGACAATATCTAGTAAGATATTTTTTTTTAGTTAATAATGGTTTAGTTCTTAGTAATTAATCCTTAGCTGGTTGGAGAAGGGTATTTGCTTGTATGAGGATATAAGGAACACAGCAGGAATTTGAACTTGGTTTTCCGATTAAGAATTCTGAGCCGTTATCCATTCCACCAGCCGCCCACCCATGCTTACATCACCTGGTATTTCAAACCGGTCACCCTACTTAGTAATGACAAGGCTCGCTATTGCTTAACTTCAGTGATCGTACGGGAACAAGTGTTTATTTCTTTTCTTGGTATCATGCAGGGTGTCACAGGCAACAAGTTTGCATTTAAACCATAACAAGTATTTTGCAAATAATGTGATTTTACGCGTAAAATTGCTAAAAGATCGATTATATTTAATGTAGGAAGGCTTCAATTTTAACATTTTTAAAATATTCCGCATATGCCCGTGTCCAGAATTAATAACCAAAAATATATTCCAAAAGAGAATTTTATCAATGCTTTCCATTTGCAAAGATGTCTTGAAAGAATTTGTATTGAATAATATAAAGGAATTTCAGAATAATTTTTCAAATGTACAATATTTGACTTGCACAGCGTTAATTAAAGAAAAAAAAATCCACGCATTTACTACATTGGAGTTTGAAAGCATTTCTACTGGATTATGTGTGTCAACAAAAGACACATCGTTTTTGAAAATTAAGTGAATGGATACTGAATAGAAATCCAGATTTTTAATAAAAGGAAATGCGGAGGAACTTTTCTCCTATTTCGATGGAAAAAGGTCCCATTATTAATTTGCAAAATCATTTAAAATAAATCCAGAGCCTCATAATTTACTTATCTAATAAATTCCCTAGATTCAGCATACTACCTTTTCGAATATAAAAAGATAATAAAACAGTTTAATGAAAGAAGTCTACACTATTTACATTATTCGGACTATTGTCCTCATCTTTGTTGCCATATTTATCACGTTTCGGCCGTTGGAAGCGCCGGCCTTCTTCAGGTGGTTGGAATGTCGAACTGAACCCTTTATTTCGCTTAAGGATACATGGCACAGTGGATAAAGGCGTTGGTTAGATCCAGTGACAGGACCCAAAGAGTTGTGAGTTGAATACCTGTTTAAGGCAGTGGAGAACTTGGAGAGGTAAATTAGCAGAAGATAACTGATAACTGACATCCATTAAACATGGCA